CCGCTCCACTCTGGCCCAAGGTGCCCCCGGCTTGCCGCTCCAGTGTGGCGCCCCTGGGTCGGCTACACGCAGGAGTGACCCTGGGTAAGAGTGACCTTTGGTGCGCGACTTTTTGGGGGGCCGCGGGGGGACCAAACCTGGGCGCGCAGGCAGCTGCTACTGCTTCGTTTTTAGCCATCTGGGGACCCACCTGCGCCCGCACCAAAGGTCACTCCGGCGAAAGGTCACTCTTACGTGTACACCCTGCGAAATGCTTTAGAAATCATGGGTTAAGAAATTGAGAATCTCAGAATTCAAATAAAAACCCAGAATGTCCATTCAAATCTTAGGATTCACATCGAAACATTAAGAATAATCGAGACTCTGGCCGAAAACTTAGGTTTCCTTAAGCATCGCCTAAGGTGTAGTCGACGGGGGGCCCCTGGGCCTCGTCAGGGGGGTGCCACTGGAGGCCGCCCGGGCCAGCGTCCGACTGCAAGCTCCCCCCCCTCCCGGCCTCCCGCGCCCACCTCCGCCCGCCCCTGCTCCAGCACCGACCACAATGAAGGGCCCCCAGGACACACACACACACAAATACACACAAGTAAAGATATTCCCCATATTTTCCCATATCTTCTGGGCTTCTGTCTTCCCCCCCCCCACTTCCCACAGTTTCCCATATGCTCTGGGGAATCGACGATTCATTGTGTCTGTGCGTGTTTCTTCCCCTCCCTGAAACAAGACTTCCCCTGCGGGGCGCCCGCGGGGCGCCCAAGCGGGCGGCGCGGTGGCCCGCCGGAGGGCGCGGGCCGCGCGGGCGGGCCCGCGGCCCGCGCGCGCGGGGCGCGGCGGAGGGCGCGGGCCGCGCGGCCGCGCGGGGCGCGGCGGGCGGAAGAGAGCGGATCGTGGGCCGCCCGCACGCATCAGTGGAGGAGGAGGAGGAGGAGGTGGAGGAGGAGGAGGAGGAGGAGGGAGGAGGAGGAAGAGGGGGGGGAGGAGGGGGGGAGGAGGAGATGCGGGCGCGGCAGACTCTTCGAGCCGGGCACTTGCGCCTCCCTTGGGCCCCAGGGGCCCTCGCAGCTCGACCAGGCTCGAAGTACAGTCGGGGCGTTGACCTAAGGAACCCCGAGTAAGGAACGAGGCCCCTGTTTTCCATGAGTTAAACTTCGATTTTCGTATCGAAAACCTAAGGCAAATCGAAGGCAAGCTGCGAAACAATCAAGGAACGCGGAGCCCCTCCCCAACGAAAAGGGAGCCTTCTTCAGGGCCACGACTGTAGGGGGCCACACGCAGTGGCAGTTAGGGGAGCAAAGAGTGGCACAAACCAAAAAAACAAACAAACAAACAAAAAACACTCGGAGGTCCGCGCGGACTTCTCGGATCGGCGCTGGGTCCCCCCTCCCCGGCGCGCGGAGCGCGCCACGGGGCGGCGCAGGCGGCGCCGCCGGGGGGCCCCAGGAATCCGCGCGGACCTCCGAGTTCTTATGTGTATGCCACGTTTTGGTCCCCTAGGCATGGCGCGGGGGAAGGTTAGCCAAACTTTTCAAAGGAAAGGGCGACACGACAGAGTGCGACATGTACCGTGGGCTCCTGGTGGGCGATCGCACTTAGAAAATCTTCACAGGTGTCCTGTGCCCTTCCGTTCAACGCAGAGTTGAGGAAGCACTGCCTCCGCAGCAGTGCGGTGGGGTGGCGTGCTCTGGGGCCAAGCGTGACCACCACGTCGTGTCGAGCTTCGTCGAGGACCGGCATCGAAAAGAGGCCCGCGGACACGATGTTCCTTGACCTCACGAAGGCTTTCGACAAGCTTGTGCGCGAAGTGGCCTTTCACCTTGAAGCTGGCTCCACCACTGAGGCGGACCTGACCGCGCAGCTCCAGCAAGTGGGGGTTGACGACACGGCAGCCTCGCACCTGGCCAACCACCTCAAGCAGCACGGTGGCATCCTACAGCAGATCGAAGTCCCCGAGCACCTCATCAGCTTGGTGGCCAACCTGCACAAGGACACCAAGGACACCCGGTTCGCGGCAGCCTTGCTTTTCAATGCTGTGTATGGCGTGGCCTTGGGAGAGCTTCGGGCAGCGCTCGACGAGCTCAGCCTGACGTTCGTTGCGGAGTGCGAGCCCTGCGGCCCGCCACGGGCCCACCGGCCCAGTGCCAGTTGCGGAAGGCACGTACGTCGACGACGAGGCCACAGCGATTGCAGGCGAGGACAACGCGAGCCTCCGCCGCAACGTCTCCCTGGTAGCCGAAGCGGCGCACACCACCATGGCGAGGCACGGCATGCAGCTGAATTGGAGACCCGGCAAGTCAGAGCCCCTCATTTTTGTGGAGGGGCAAGGGCGCACGGGCCGCCAAGGCAGAGGCCGATGATCGGCGAGCGCCCTGCCCTGGCCCTGCCTGGAGTCCCAGGCATCGATTGTCTCGTGGTGAGCGAGCACAAGCATTTGGGATCCATGCAGTCTGGCGTCGGGTCCCTTGCCCTGGACATGCGTGCCCGCCTGCGGAGAGCATCTGCGGTGTACCACAGCCTGGAACGCGGGAAGGTCTCCGCAGTGCAACACGTGAGCGTGCAGCTCAGGCTGCGACTCTTCCGGTCCCTCGTCCTTTCAGTGCTGTTCTATAACTCTGAGCTGTGGACGCCTTCGCGCACGCACATACAGTGGCTGCACACATTGTATCTGCGCGCCGCGCGCAGGATGGCCCACGAGAACCGTTTCCCGATCCCTGGGAAGCCCCGCCTAAGCGATCTTGCACTTTGCAAAAATTGCAGCTTCCCTCCATTGACAATATCCTCAGGCGGCGCCGCCTGCTATACATTACCAGCTTGATCTGCAAGCCCTTCCCTGCGCTGCAGGCCCTACTAGAGGAACAAAAAACTTCACAAACATAAGCTGTTGGAGCTCCGCACGAATTTCTTGGAATGGCGCCAGACCCCTACTCCCTGACGCGCGGGGCGCGCCAGGGGCGGTGCCGGGGGCGATGCCAAGGGGTCCCAGCCCCGATCCGAGCAATCCGCGCAGAGCTCCGAAGCTTATGCTTGTGCAGTTTGCCCTTCTCCTGCCCCACTCGGCCTCCCCCTCCCCGTGGTCTCAACGAATTCTCGCCGACCGCCAGGCGATTCCCGGGCTCGCGCCGCCGCCAGCCCGGCGCAACCCAGATGCGTTAGGGGGCCCGAGCCCCGCAGAAGGAGAAGCCGCATGGACAGAATTCATAGCCACGGACTGGTGGAAGTGCAGACGTCTCGCCCGGGACGTTACGCTAGGATCGGCGTCTTTTGCCGACGACTCCACAGGTACTCTTACAGTTCCGTGCCCGGAGTGTGGCAAACTCTTCAGTAGCAGCAAAGCCGTCGCTACGCACAGGATGAGGGCTCACGGCCATCGGAAACCCGTGGCGTCCGTGATCCCAGCAGGGGCTAGGACGTGCCCTGCCTGCTCAAAAGTTTTCAGGACCATCCGACAGCTTGTAGACCATGCGGAGTACAGAGCTCACAAGTGCCGAGATGCGATTCCCGCGATCTGCTGTGCCTTCCCGTTATTTGTGTCTTGCCGCACGACTTAGGTATATGGCTTCTGTCTGTCTGTCTGTCTGTCTGTCTGTCTGTCTGTCTGTCTGTCTGTCTGTCTGTCTGTCTGTCTGTCTGTCTGTCTGTCTGTCTCTGTCATCATCATCATCATCATCATCATCATCATCATCATCATCATCATCATCATCATCATCATCATCATCATCATCATCATCATCATCGTCATCATCGTCATCATCATCACCATCACCATCACCATCACCATCACCATCACCATCATCATCATCGCCATCATCATCATTACTATCATCAGTATCATCATCATCAGTATCATCATCATCATCATCATCAGCATCAGCATCAGCATCAGCATCATCATCATCACCAGCATCGTCCTCATCGTCACCATCATCATCGTCATCATCAGCATCATCATTATCAGCGTCATCATCATCAGCATAATCATCCTGATCATCGTCATCAGCATCATCATCGTCATCGTCATCGTAATCGTCATCGTCACCACGATCATCAGCAACATCAGCATCATCATCATCATCATCCTCATCATCATCCTCATCGTCATCATCAGCAGTATCATCACGATCATCAGCATCATCAACAGCATCATCCTCATCGTCATCAGCATCACAAGCAGCAGCATCAGCATCAGCATCAGCATCGTCGTCATCAGCAGCAGCAACCTCACCATCATCTCCATAATCTTCATTGTCACCAGCATCATCAGCATCAACATCATCGTCATCATCATGAGCAGCAGCATCATCAGCAGCATGAGCATCATCCTTATCCTCATCGTCATCGTCATCATCAGCATCGTCATCATCATCAGCAGCATCATCACTATCATCATCACCATCATCGTAATCATCCACATGATCAGCAACATAAGCATCATCATCCTCAATATAAGCATCATCATCAACAGCAGCATCATCAAAAACAAAATCATCATTCGCATTATCACTAGCAGCAGCGATATCATCCCCAGCATCAGCATCAGCATCAGCAGCATCCTCATCATCGTCAGCATCGTCATCATCTGCATCATCGTCATCATCACCAGCAGCAGCAACAGCAGCATCTCCGTCATGAGCATCGTCATCATCAGCAGCATCATCATCCACCGGATCCTCATCATCATCACCAGAAGCAGGAGCATCACCATCGCCACCGTCGTCCCTGTCATCATCCACGTCATCCTCCAGGGGAGAAGGGGCTCGTACTCCTGCCACTCATCGGCCTGATCTTTCCTCCTACTCCTCTTCCAGGGGAAGGGGGGGCTCTCCTCCTCCTCCTCCTCATCATCATCATCCTCCTTCTCCCCACTCCGCCTTCTCCTCCCCCGCTCCTCCGACTCCATGATCCTCCTCGGGCTACGTGATGTTTCTCCTCTCCGTCTTCCTCGTCCCCCTTGTCCTTCTCCTCCTGCTCGTCTTGCGACATGGCTGGAACACACGTCCTCGAGGCCTCTATACCAGGCCGTCACTGTACTGCTGTCGCGACCTCAACCCGCGCACCTGGGGGACAAGACCCGCCCCCACCCACCGACTGGCGCTCGCCACGGACACCACGGACACTGCAGGGGCGGAAAGAGGCCGACGCGCGACCACCGCACACGCCCGCGCGGCCGGCCTCCGCGAGGACGGCCTGCCGACGGGCCGGCCGCCGCCCGAGGAGCGACGGAGCCAGAGCAGCCCGCGGACGCGGCACGAGGTGCACGGCACCAGCGGTGCCAGCGGGCCGCCCCCCGGGGCACCACCGTCTCGTGGCCGAGCTCCGGGCAGGCCACGGCGAGCTGCCCGGCCCGGCCTGGGCGGGCGTGGCCCCGGGGCACGGCTGCGCGGCACCGGCCGAGCGCACGGCCGCACGGGCACGCCCGAGCCAGTGGTGGCACTCCTCGGCCAAGACGCGCGACATCTGCCGCCGATTCCTGGCGCCACGAGGACCGCGAACTCAAGACGGCCAAAGGTCGGCGTGGAAATTGACTCACCGATCTCAACGGGTGGCAAGGCCACGATCGGGGGCCTCAAGACTGAGGTAAGTATAGACCTTCTTCCTCCTCCTCCTCCTCCTCCTCCTCCTCCTCTTCCTCCTCCTCTTCATCTCCATATTCGTCTTCACTTCATCTTTCATCTTCCTCCTCCTCCTAGATTCCTCTTCCTTGTGAAAAATGTGTCCCTGTCGCACCCCGAGAAGTGTCGGTAGGGTGGGCCGGGCGCTTCGCCTGAGACCTCCTCAACATTTATGAGTCACAGGCTTGGAGGGCGGACCGTTTTCAAAATGAGGCCGATCACCTGAGGACCGCGCACATGCGTATAGAAGTTCGCCAGAGTTTCACTGATGGAGGGCGGATCGTTGTCAAAAGGTGGCTCTCGCCTTAGCGCCGCGCGCATTCGTCTTGCAAATTTGCAAGAGTCTCACCGATGAAGGGCGGGTCGTTTTCAACATGTGGCTCTCGCCTCAGCGCCGCGCATATTCGTCTTAACAGTTTGTATGAGCTTCACAGATAGCGGGCGAGTCATTTGCAACATGTGGGTCTCGCTTCAGCGCCGCGCACACTCGTCTTTAAAGTTTGTATGAGGTTCTCGCATGGAGGGCGCGTCGTTTTCAAAATGTGCCTCTCGCCTTAGCGCAAAGCACCTTCGTCTGTAAAGTTTGTATGAGATTCGCGAATGGAGGGCTAGTCGTTTTCCAAATGTGGCCCTCGCCTCAGCACCATCCTGAAAAAGGCAGGAGTTTCACGATGGACCAGGTCGTTTTCAAAACGTGCTTCTTGCCTCAGCGCCACACACATTCATATCAAAAGCCTCCACCAATGTCAAGGATGTGTACGTCTGACGTCCCAGCAACGGTGTTCCCGCACGATTTGGGGTTGAAAGGGTGCGATGCTCAAGTTGTTTCCTGGCGTCGACGTCCCAGGAAGGGCGTTCTGGATGCAGGATCGTCAGGACGCAACAGCACAGACAATTCGCGGCGCTGAAGTCCAAGGAGTGGCGTCTTGGCACGATTGAGAATTTTCAAACGGCTGGCTTCCAACAGGGCGCTTTCAGCAGCGAAGATGACTTATTGTGGGGACCGATACGGGGAACCTGAAGAGAGCCAGTATTGCAACATCCCTGATGCGCTTCGGGTTTACACTAGTCCTCCTCCTCCTCCGATGCCTCCTCCGATTCCTCCTCCTCCTCTTCCTCCTCCTCCTTCTCCAAATTCTCCTCCTCCGATGCCTCCTCCGATTCTTCCTCCTCCTCTTCCTCCTCCTCCTCCTCCAGCTTCTCCTCCCCCATCCCCCTCCACGACCTTGGACTGCCTCGCCCCTTGCACAGGGCACTCCCCCGCAGCGGCTCGCTCCGCGGGTGCCCCCCGCGGACCGCCGATCCGAAGCGCACCGCCTCCCGTCCTCCCTCGTCCCTTAGCCAGGTGAAGAGGGCCAGACACGTACTCGTCCTCCCCCCTCGTCCTCGTCCCTCCTCCCCCCTCGTCCTCGTCCCCCCTCGTACTCGTCCTCCCCCCTCGTCCTCGTCCCCACGAGGTGAATCGCACCTCGTCCCCTCCTCCATCGTCCTTAGCACTCGTACGTGCGAACAGAAACAGGGCCAGAGGACGACCAGGGACGAGCCGCTGCTGCCGTGCACAGTACGACCGCTCAGACAGACGACTCGTTCGGCCCAAGCGGTACAAGACAGCACCAGCGTCTCTGGTGCACGAGCAGCCGAAAGACTCCTTCGCCACTCATCATCATCATCAGCCTCATCATCACCACCACCACCACCACCACCATCATCATCATCATCGTCGTCATCATCGTCATCATCATCAGCAGCATCATCATTATCAGTATCACAATCACCATTTCATCATCATCATCATCGTCATCATCATCATCATCATCATCAGCATCATCATGACCAGCATCCTCATCATAATCAGCATCATCATCATAATTCATGTTCATCTCCAGCATCGGCAGCAAAAACAGCAGCAGCAACAACCGCAGCAGCAGGCTCCCCATAACATCCACAACGCCATGAACAGCATCATCTTCTTCATCATCATATTCATCATCACCACCAACACCAACATCATCAACATCACCACCATCATCAGCGGAATCGATATCGGCATCATCATCACCATCACCATCATCATCATAATCATCATCATCACCACTGTCATCATCAACAGCACCGCCATCGCCAGCGTCGACACCAACATCATGATTGCCGTCATCATGGCACAATCCAAACTCTTCCCCAGCATCGGTGAAAGCCTATTATCCTGCTACCCGTCTTCCTCACCACCACCACAATCATCATCAGTATCATCATCAGCATAATCATCAGCAGCATCAGCATCATCATAATCATCAGCAGCAGCAGGAGCATTATCACCGTTCTCATCAGCAGCATCATCAGCATCAGCATCCTCATCATCAGCAGCAGCAATAACAGCAGCAGCAGTAGACTCTGAGTCAGCATATGCACATCGTGATCATCCTGGCCAACGCCATGAACACCATCTTCATCATCATCACCACCACCATCACCACCACCATCAGCATCAACATCATCAACAGCACCGTCATCGCCAGCGTCGGCACCAGCTTCGTCATTCCCGCCGTCAAGACACAATCCACACCCTCCCCCAGCATCGGTGAAAGCCCATTATCCTGCTACTCTTCTTCCCCACCACCAACACAATCATCAGCATCATCATCATCGTCGTCATCATCAGCAGCCACAAAATCAGCATCATCATCATCAGCAGCATCATCATCACCATAATCATCAGCATCATCATCATCAGCATCATCAGCATCATCAGCAGCATCGTCATCATCATCAGCAGCCTCAGCATCATCAGCATCATCATCATCAGCACCAGCAGCATCATAACCATCAGCATCATTTTATGCATCGTGTGCATCATCAGCAGCAGCGTCATCAGCATCAGCATCAGCATCAGCGTCAACATCCGCAGCGGCATCATCATCAGCATCATCAGCAGCAACATAATCATCATCACCATCAGCAGCATCAGCATCGTCATCAGCAGGATACGCATCATCACCGTAATCGTCATCAGCCGCATCATCAGAAGCGCCCTCAATCATTCACAGCATCACTAACATCACCAGCATCATCGTCAGCATCAGCACCCTCATCGCCATCACCATAATCATACGTTATCAGAACCACCATCATCATCAACATCGTCGTCGTCACCACAATCATCATAATCAGCATCGGTAAGATCATCTGCATCAGCTTCATCATGAGCATCAGCATCATCGCCATCGGCATCGCCATCATCATCAGCATCATCAGAATCCTCATCATCATTGTCACCAGCATCATCATCATCAGCAGCATCGTCATCGTCATCTGAATCATCAGCGTCATCACCATCGTGTGTTCAGATTCCCCCTGCGTAGACACATCCTCCTTCAGCCCTTTGCACTAGCCCCCTTTTAAACCCCACAGTCCGACCTGTGAGGCTCCATCTCGAACTCGACGCCAGACCTGAGAGGGACGCATCCCTCCCCTTGCTGTCACGGTTCAGACGCGAGGCTAGGCCACTCCCCAATTCCTCGAGCTGCTTCTCGGAGGCTGGGGCGGAGAAGGAGGAGGAGGAGGAGGAGGAGGAGGAGGAGGGGGGAGGTGGGAGGGAGGAGGAGCAGCAGCAGAAGGGCTCGAAATGGTTTCTGGCTCTTGATCGTCCCCACATCCGCTCCCTCTACCGCATTCCTGGCGTTGCGTCCCGATCCTCTTGCCCATCTTCCGCCGCAACTCGACTCCTGTCCGCCTTCTGCCCGGCCTGCTCCTGCCTCATCCTCCCTCCCCCTCCTCCCCCTCCTCTTCCCCCTACCCCTCTCCATCCCCCTCCCCCTCCCTCCTCCTCCTCCTCCTCCTCCTCCTCCTCCTCCTCCTCCTCCTCCTCCTCCTCCTCCTCCTCCTCCTCCCTCCTCCTTCTCTTCCTCCTCCTCCCCTTCCTCCTCCTCCTCCTCCTCCTCCTCTCCTCCCCTTTCCCTTCTCCTTCTCATCCTCCCTTCTCCCTCCTCCTCCTCCTCCACCTCTTCTTCTTAGTCGTACTAGTAGTATGAACTCTTCTTTTGCTTCTTAATATTGTAAGTACTAATCGTAATATTAGTGTACTAATAGTATTAGTATCATTATTCTTACTACTATTAGCAGGTGTATTATTAATATTAGTAGCATGCTTCGTCTTCTTCTGCTCGTGTTCGTCGTCCTCTTCTTCTTCTTCCTCCTCCTCCTCCTCCACATCCTTCCTTTTCCCCGCGCCATGTCCCGGCGCGCTCGGATTCGATGCCTCCCCCTCCTCCTCATCACCCTCCTCCTCCAACCCCTGCAGCATCCCTCTACCTCCTCCCGCCCCTTCCTCCGTCTTCTCATCCTCCTTTGTTTAACGCACATCCCCCTGACCATCATCATCACCATCATCATACTAATCAGCATCGTCATCATCATCATCAGCAGCAGCATCATCAGCATCATCATGATCACCATCAGCATCGTCATCATCGTCATCACCAAAATCATCATCATCAGCAGCATCAGCATCACCATAATCACCATCATCATTATCATCATCAGCACCATCATCAGCAGCATCAGCATCAGCATCAGCATCAGCAGCATCAGCTGCTGCAGCATCAGCATCAGCATCAGCATCATTATCAACACCAGCATCATCACTATCAGAACCATCATCATCATCATCAGCAGCAGCAGCATCAGCAGCATCATCAACGTCATCATCATTAGCATCATCATTTTCATCAGCAGCAGCATCAGCACCAGCATCATCATCAGAATCAGCAGCAGCACCACCATCATCAACATCACCATCACCGTCACCATCACAATCATCATCATCGTCATCATCACCATCCTCATCGTCATCATCATCATCATCAGCATCCTCATCATCATCAGAATCAGCATCAGCACCAGCATCATCAACACTACCATCCTCGTCGTCGTCGCCGCCGCAGTCACCACCGTCATAATCATCATCATCAGCCATCATCATCAGCATAATCATCATCAACATCATCATCACCATCAGCAGCAGCATCAGCATCATCATGGTCGTTGTCGCCGTCTTCGTCGTCATAGTCAAGGTCATCATCATCGCCATCAGCAGCATCAGCAGCATCATCAGCATCGTCATCCTCATCCTCATCCTCATCCGTCTCATTTCTATCCTCCTCCTCCTCCTCCTCCTCCTTCTCCTCCTCCTCCCCCGCCTTCCCCCACCCTCTTGAATCCTCCACAATCTCTCTACGTCATCCCGCATCCTCATCATCCTGGTCCTCATCTGCACCGTCTTCAACATCCTACTCTTCATGTTCCCGCTCCTCGTCCTCCTCCGCCTCCCAATCCACGTATGAGTACTACCTTTATCTGCCCGGCCGCCTGCCCGACCCCTTCCATTCCCTCCTTTTCTGATCCCTCATCCTCCCCGTGTTCTCCTCCTGCTCCCACTCGTAATGATCCTCCTCCCCTTTGACCAGAAACCCGTCACGTTCAACCATGCTCGATGGCATCACAGCGATGGCAATCATGAGCGTCACAGGTGCTAAGGCTGCCAGCTCTACAAATGACACGCCTGGCTCTTTGGGCCCGGGAGTCGTGTAATAGGTTGATATTCCCTATACCACCTTCTCTCATCAATAGAATGTAGTCCGTCTCGAACCAAGGCGGAGACGACTAGCTCGTGTGAATTATAATGGTGCATTCCCTTTTGGCGGCAGACGCTGTCAATATAAACGGATGGTGCGCCGCTTGGGCGATGTTGAATTCACCGGGACAGTTCTGACAGCAAACCATCAGATGTCAAAGCCGCCGAACACAGAATGCTCTGACAATCGGCGAACCTCCGACTGGAAATAAGTAGCACAGATCTAACCAACTGTGCTGCCAAGGACATACGGGAATGAATGTACCGTTTCCGAGTCTGCGTAAAAGAAAACCATGTCAAACGCTCATCGCCAAACCATCATACAAAGGACGTCTCTTGTGCACGTGGACTTGAAATACACGGACGCGCCACCGTGGTGGAGGTTAGCAGCGAAAGAGCAAACTACATTCCCACTAGCAGCTCCCACTGTCGGCGGCGCAATCAGATACATCATCAGCACAGCTACTCGCGCAAGTTTGCTACACCTATAGGCGATGCTCTTATCAATTGCGAATCCACCGTTCAGCCGCCGCTCTTATCACTGGCGCAGCCATCCGAACAACCACCTGTACTGGCACCACTACCACGACAACTGCACGTACAATCACCAACAAGAGCGCTATCGTGATGTCCCCTTCAATGCTAGCAATGAGCACAGCTATCAGAACACAAGACAGAACTACTAGTAGAATTACTGGACTTAATGTTGATCTGGCATTTTTCCCGGACTACCAAGCAAAATACTGGACATCACTACCACAAGAATCATGAAACGCGAGGCTCCGCTTTTGAGCAGACTTACCCCAAGAATCGTCAGATGAGGAGACTTGTACAAACTCAATCCGGCCGTTAACGGGCACCACGCACGCGCTTCCGGTACCACTGGCCAGGCAGTGCTGAGTGAGAACGGACCTTTCTATCCACGAGCACCTTAACAAGAGAACCGTTTCTCCCGCTGGCCAGAACCTTCGGTCGGAAAGAATCCCCAAATCCATGGACGCCATCCCGCCCAGCTCTGCGAGACATGTCCGGCCGCGGCGCCGATGGGGTCCCCGAGGGCTTCAAGAATATAGGAGGAACAACATGCATCCACATAAACTTTCGACGGTCCGCGCGGACCGCCAAATAACAGGATTCCCCATATTCTCGTATATCTTCTGGGCTTTTGCATCCCCCCCCCATTTCCCACATTTTCCATATTTCCTGGGAAAGCGAGGATTCGCTGTGTCTGTGCGCTTCTTCCCAGCCCCTCACGAGGGGGCCGCAGCCTGGGTCGTCCTGGCAGGCGCAGGCCCAGGGCCTGGCGAAGGACCCCAGGGCCACCGGACGGCCCGTGGGGTGCCGCTGCGCCGCGCACCGCCCGGAGACGCCACTGCACGGCGCTCCACTCGACTACGCGCAAGAGTGACCCTGGGCAAGAGTGACCTTTGGTGACTACCTACCAGACCACCCCAACCCAACCCGAAGACCCGAATTTCGGGTTGGGGGGGGTAAGGGTTCCACGCGTGTTTTTTCGATGTTCCCCGACCCCCCCCCCACTGGAAATCGACGGTAAATTTGAGCCTTCGGGTTGGGTAGGGGTGGTTTGGTGGGTGGTGATTTGGTGCGCGACTTTTTAAGGGGCGCGAGGGGGCCAAGCACAAGCGCGCAAGACGCCAAGATCGCAACGAGCGCGGCGATCGGGGAACCCCAATGTGCCCGCACCAAAGGTCACTCCGGCGAAGGGTCACCCTTACGTCTAGTCGAATCCACGGGGAGCCCAGGCGGCTACACGGAAGCCCGGGATACACGTCGGTCGGAAGAGGTAGGTAGAAACATGAAGTAGAAAGGCGGATAAAGTGGATTGGGTCCAGGCCCTCTCAGAGAATAACAAAACACAGCAAAATCACAACGGGAGTCCAACACTACCTACTTTCAACGACCGGCGCGTAGAGGAAGGAGGCGGAGGAGGGGGAGGCAGATGATGAGATCCTGCGTGCGTAGAGAAACACACATAATACGCGGAGAGGGCGGGAGACTCCCCGGGCAGAGTCAGCGGAGAGAGGAGACGAGTAGTCATGCTGTGCAATTGTAGAGGGGCCCTCCTCTCCTGCCCCGGGTGCACCCAGGAAGGCCCAGGAGGCCCCCAGAGCGGCCCACGAGGGCCCCAAGAGGCGGAGCTCGAACTTACACGTCGCGCCCTCGGCCCCAAGACGACCTCCGAGAAGGGGCCTCCGAGAAGCCCCAGGAGGCCTACGAGAAGCCAAAATCAGGCCGCAGGAGGACCCAAGAGGCCCCGAGAGCCCCCAAGACACATCCAAAACAGCCTCCGAGAGACTTCCAAGAGACCTGCCAGATACCCACAGGCATCCAAGCGGACTCCTAGGCGCGGTGGCGGGATGGGCCGAAGGCCACTAGATCCGCCGCCCCCTGCTTGCAGGGGTGCACGGCGTGCTGGATGTTTCAGGTTTTGGTTTTGGTTCTTTTTCTAAAAGAACTCCCCAGTGGGCTTCGGCCCGTCCCGCCGGCCACCCTTCCAGGACCTCAATTCCCCAATTTCCTGCCCCAGACGGCTCCAAGATGGCCTCCAAGACGGCCAAGATGGCCCAAGATGGCCTCCAAGATGCCTCCCAGACGGCCAAGATGGCCTCCAAGACGGGTAAGATGGCTCCAAGATGCCTCCAAGACGGCCCAAGATGCCCTCCAAGACGGCCAAGATGGCCCCAAGATGCCTCCAAGATGGCCCAAGAGGCCTCCAAGACGTTCTCCAGGAGAGCCCGAAGAGGCCAAAATCATTGGTTTTCCTTAGGTTTTTGAAGGTTTTTTGCGTTTTCTTCTT